ACCCTGGTAATATTAATAATAATAATAATAATAATAATAAATAATAATAATACTAATAATAGTGGTGGTGATCATGATGATGATAATATTAATAATAATAGTTACATTTATACAGCGCACATCCACACTCTACACGCTTTAAAACTATCAATAATTATAATTATTAATATTTTAATGTTTGCTGTTGCAATGTTCTAGATGTTATTTAGTTATAGTTAAGAGTTTTACCTGCACCTGCAACACAAATAGGTCGTATAAGATTAGATGTGTTACTACTAGAGAGTCGCATTCAAAAAGAAGAAGGAGGAGAGAGAATGTTTTTGTGTTTAAGTAAGCATTTTACAACACTTGAAACACAATTACGTTATATGAACGCTGAAGATTGGAGGTGTTACAAGAGAGTAACAAACACACAAAAATAAGCAGGAGAGATAACGACGATAGATGTTTGATAGTCCTAGAAAAGGAGGAGCAAACCACACAAGAACCCCTTTTTTGTTTGTTTTAATAGAGGTTTTTCGGTGCTCGCAACTGCATAAGGTCATATGAGCGCCAGAAAATTACAGGTGTTACAAGAGAGTAACAAACAAAAAAGAAAAAGGGGAGATAAAGACGTTAGATGTTTGATAGGAAAGAAGGAGCAAACCACACCAGAGCACCCGCCAACCACCCACGCACAATTAGGTCATATGAGCGCTGAAGATTGGAGGTGTTACAAGAGACGTAACAAACACAAAAAATAAGCAGGAGAGATAACGACGATAGATGTTTGACAGTCCTAGAAAAGAAGGAGCAAACCACACAAGAGCCCCCGCCAACCACCCACAAACAGTAGGCCTACATTTGTGTCATCAACAACAACATCAAATTCACAGAGACTGTTCCCATCCTCCACCAATCCCATCCCTCAAGACAACAACAATCATAGTAACAAGACAATCACATTTCTCACCTATCCCATCACCAAAGACAGCAATAAAAATACTACAATACTATTAACAAGATCATAATTTACAACATCATCAACAACATCCACTCTCCATTATTCCATCATCTGTTTCTCACCTGATCTATCACTTAAGACAACAACCCCCCGGGGCGGAGCTACTGACTGAAGTGTCTTTAGGCCATTCCCAAAGGGGGGGACATTATCATCTCGAGTTCTTATGCACAGTAGAATTGTAATTGTAAATGGGCTGATTCAGTAATGTCACACTCATAACTGTGCCTGATCTGCAACAGGGAACTGCTGCTTTTTCTTTCCTAATCCTTACGATCGTCATTTTTCCTCTACTTCTTTTGTATGTTTGTCACACTCTTGTGACCCGCTATTTCCGGGGTGCCTTGATAGTCGAAGCAGACTTTTTGCTGTAGAAGCTAGAGAGGTGAGTAGACTTCCACCCCTTGGTGCTCATATGACCTTATGCAGTTGGGAGCACCGTAAAACCTCTACTAAACAAACTTAAGACTATAACATAGACAACAATTAAACAAACAACAACGACAAAAATATATCCCCCCCCATGGACTGTCCCTTCCCTTTACCTGTCCGGCCAGCTGTCTCTGTCTCTCTATCTCCATGTAGCGTTGCACAGCCAGATAGACAAACTGGTACTGGCTCTGAGTCTGCACCAACCCCGAGCGCTGGTAGCGAACATTCAAGATGGTCTTGAAGATATCAATGTCACAATCAAAACCTGCACATACAAAGGAAGATGGCAATGTAATCAGTCAAAACCTGCTTTTTTTAATATAGTTTAAGTTTAATTTTAGTAAGAGTTTTACAGAATGTGCAAAACAATAAGGTCATAAAAGTGCTGGAGATTAGAGGTGTTCTGAAAGAGTAACAAACACAAAATAAGGAGAGATCAAGACGATGACGATAGATGTTTGATAGGAAAGAAGGGGCAAACCACATCAGAGCAACCACCAACCACCCGCCAAAACCTGCACATTCAGAGGAAGACATCAATGTCACAGTCAAAACTTGCACATACAAAGAATAATGCGTGTGTTTTTATGCCTCCATTAACACAATCTAGATCATTCAGGAGACAGGCTTCTGATCCTGCCTGTCAGGGTTTCTCGACTTGCTCAAGGGCACACCCCTGTGACCACCAATCTGAACCCTGTGTCACCGAGACTTTCTGGACTTTACTTTGAGTCTGAACTCACTGCTCACTTAGCCACCGAAGCCCCC